GAGCTTGTTGACCAGGGTATAACAGGAAGGTGTGGAAGGTGTGGTGGATTTGGCTATGAGATTGAAGTGTTGTTTTGTTTTTAAGTGACCTGTTTTATACGGAGTGAGCATGGGATGGTGTGGTAGGGGTGGACCGAGTGAAGATGGTGAAGGGGTATTAGTGGATGGAGAGGAAGTAGGTAGATGTGGTTCGGGTATGGTTGATGATGGTATGGTTGGAGAGGTTGATGAAGGAATAGATGTATAGTGAGATAGATTGGAAGGATGGTATAGTGTGGAGACTGGAACAAGCGTGAGTGGAGTGGAATCTGTTGTAGTATGAGGTGTAGTCATGGTGCCAGAGGAAGAGATGGATGGAAACCAATCTTCTTGGAATAGGACGTGGCGGTAAATGTGAATTTTAGAAGTGTTAGGATTGTAGCATCGATAGCCTTTATGTGTAGAGGAGTAGCCAAGGAATATACAAGCTGCTGAACGCGGATGGAGTTTACTGGGTGAGAGAGGGCGAAGCCAAGGGTAGTAGAGACATCAAAAAGTTTTGAGATGGGTGTAGGACGGTTGATGGCCATGAAGAAGATTGTATGGATTGTCAAGATGAAGAGTTAGAGAAGGTAATCGGTTGATCAGGTAGTTTGTCATAAGGAGTGCTTCAAGCAAGAATTTGAGAGGTAGATTCGAGGCGTGAAGGAGTGTCTGAGTTGTCTCAATAAGATGGCGATGCTTGCGTTCAGCGATGCCATTTGCTCGGGAGTGTATGGACAACTTAGTTGTTGTTGAATGCCGTGAGTAGCAAGGAGTTGTTTGAAGGAGTTAGAGGTGTACTCACCGCCACCAACTGAGCGGAGAGACTTGATTAATGAGTTGAATTGATTTTTGATTAATTGTATAAAATGTTGAAATTTAGTAATGGTTTCATCTTTAGTGAACATTGGGTATAACCATGAGAAATGAGTAAAGTCGTCTATGAACACAGCATAGTAGTTACAGCCATTTAAAGAGGAGATAGGGGCAGGTCCCCATATATCTGTATGAACAAGCATAAATGGAGCGGAAGTTTGCATTTCATTGATAGAAAATTATAGTTTGTGGCTTTTAGCCACTTTACATGAGTTGCATAAGAAAGTAGAAGCACTAGACAGTTGAACTGATGGAGATTTGTGTACTACTAGTTGAAGTAGTTGGAGATGCGGGTTGCCCAACCGTGCATGCCACAGGGAGGTTGATGAAGTAGTGGTGTGCAGCGCAAAATTTGGAGTAGATGGAAGGATTGTTTGGGAGGTCGGATTGTCCTTGATTGTGAATCCAAGGGAATGAAAATAGATAGAACAATTATTGTCAGTTGCTAGTTTATGAATTGATAGTAGATTGTGTTTGAGAGTGCGAACATGGAGACTATTTTGTAAATGTAGCTTACGTGTAGTGTTAGGTAGTGGTAGAAGGCCTTGGCCACTGGAATGGATAGGGAGGGACATCCCGTTGGCAATGGAGATGGTGTCGCTTCCGGCATATGGTTGTGGGTTCTGCAGATAGTTAACGTCAGACGTCAGGTGAGAGGTGGATCCTGAGTCAAGGTACCATTCAGCAGCAGCATTGTGTGAGGTTGATGGTTGTGCGAGTAAGGCACGATTGGGAGCTAGAGATGAGTAGTTCAAATTACACCTGTGCCAACAAGTCAGTGCTATGTGGCTTGGTTTGCTACATATTTGGCAGATTGGCTGAGCGGAATCTGCAGTAATTTTGGCTTGACTGTACGCTTCTCTTGGTGAATTTCCTCGACCACCTCTGTAATTGCCTCTGGATCTGTTTGCTCGTCCCCATCTAGCATATAATGTAGTGCTGTCTGTAGCCTATGAAGAATTTCTGTGGAGATCATTGTTAACATGGATTTCTTCACTGAATAATAATGGGTATAAAGTGTCCAGAGTAAAATGCTCTGGAATGGTGGATCGTTGTTTTGAAGGAGTTGTATGCAGGAGGTCGGTCATTTAAAATGTACATAATGATGTCTTCAGAGTCTATATGAGAGCCTGCTGCTTCTATTCCGTAAAAGAGCTATTTTATCCGGGATAAATACTCCGACATTGTGGAATCCTTCATTTGAATGCAGTGTAGTTAACTTTTCAGCTGTATCACTCTTGACCTGTTGGTTGGTTGCAATCTTGTTGACAGAGTACTCCATATTTCGACTGTTGTGGTGAGGTGAAGCACGTATGGGAGAACGGATGGTGAAATGGTTGAGAGCATGGCAGCAACAAGGTTTTGGTCAATCAAGAGCTAGAGCTTGACTTCTAAGTCGGAGTTGGTTCCAGGGGGTTTTGCCTGAGTTCCTGTGAGGTAGCCAACGAACCCATTTGCAGTGAACAGTTTGTGCACTTGTAAACTCCAGATAGCATAATTTTTGCTGTTGAGCTGTATGCTAACTATGGATTTCAGATTGGTCATGATGAATTTCAGCAGACCTGGAATGGTGAAATCGGCCATTGCCGTGGCCGGAGAAGATGGTTGAGGGGCTACGGAAGTCGCTGAGCTTTGTTCCGCCATTGGAAGATGTCGTGAGGCTCAAAGCTCTGATACCATGAAGTAACCTGCAAAACATAGAGTGAAGTATATGGAAGCAATGGAGAAGAAGATGAACAGTGATGGAACTTGTTGTTACTATTCCATTGCGTCAAGTAATGAAGCGCTGTGTATACATATATAAAGGAGAAACGGTTAGGAATGTCAGAAAGCAAATGTGTTGTTGGTTCAGCTGGTCACAGTGTATCATGGCCATGTGCAGTGATGATGTCCTGCAGGTGTTAGTGGAGCTGAGCACAATAAGGCGGCGTGCAGATGCTATAGCTTATCAGTGGTGCTAACAGTAGCAGCGTTTAAAGTTGATGCTATTAAATAATACTAGCAGCGGTTTAAACCGATGCAAATGCCAGCAGTTTTAACCGCTGCTATTGCCAAACCTTCCTTCTTGTACTTATTGGACTCTTGAGACTCGCGATCCATGGCCTCTTCTTCTCTTTCGATGTCGAACCCTAGCCTTCTCTGTGCTACCCTTCTCCTTGTGCTCTCGACCGTTTGATCTTTTGATCCTGTGGGCTTATTTCAATCGGAGTCGTTGTCGGCGTCAAAGACCGAAGTCAGACCGTTCGCTCGTGTCCTATTCCTCTTATCTCCCTGTTCGTTATAAACCCTAACTTAGATTGTTTTTATTTTTTCAAATGCTTTCACATTAGGTTGAAGAAGACGATGATTAACGAAATGACCTCATTATTGTGAATTTATTTATGTGATTTGGATGAGTTTACAATATTGTTTGAAAAAAAAATATTGGTTCATAAAAAAATGTGATGGTTGATTACCATGAGGTTTTGGAGCTTCTACGCTAAGTTATATTTTTATAACATTGTGTAATTGGAAGCTAAAATTAAAGCCTAAATTGTATATAATATTGAAATGAGGAAGGGCCAAAATGCAATTTACAATACAATAACTAAGCAATAAATGATTGGCAACATTTATCTGCTATGCATAGTGGGTCATGGTGGTATGGGGAAGACAACTCTCTTGCAACATTTCTGTAAAGATGAAATTACAAAGGAATTTGATAAAAAAATGTGAGTTAGTGTTTCCAACAACTTTGATGTGAAAAAGTCATTGCAGATATCTTCAAGCTCTTTAGCTTAGAAGGCAACTCTTTCAAAATGGTGCAGTAATTTAACTCCAGTTTAATTATCCAAGTAAACAAACATCCATCTTCAGCAGCTACTCCTGACTCAGATCATTCCTCTAATGCTTCCAATCCTCAAATATTGAACACCTCAAGCTCTAGAATTGGAAAGGCACGGTATTTATCATTCCCGGGAAATTTATTTTTGAACCATTTTACTTTCGGCATATAAGAATGTTTCAGACTTGCGGAAGGGAAGTTTCCACTTCGAGCAATGTATCATTCTTGTTCTTTATTGTTCATTTTAACCACTTTTTCTAAAATATTAATGGGGCGAAAATAATATATAATCATGTGCTCAATTATTGATTAGGTTATTTATATAATCATGTGCTCTATTTTGACTTGTACGTTTGTGTAACTTAAACAGAAAAGCTCTTGTATGAAATAAAATTCATTTTTTTTTATAAAATAATTATGGGAGGTCGTGGCGGTGTCAACAACATTGTAGAAATGTGGCGGTTAACCGTCACATTACTGGAGATCGATTATTTTAATTTAACTCGTAGTGGTTATGACCGTTGAAATTCAAGTACGTCGTTATGACGGTTATAACCGCTGCTATATTCAGCATTCTTCACTTCTATCCCGTCGGTCCTAAAACTACCGCTGAATGTCATTGCAACGCATTGTAATCACGGCGGTCATTCAGCGGTTATTAAACCGTTGCAAAAATAGTAGTGGCAGGAAAAACCATCGGAAAAAGTTGAAATTTGTGCTGCGAAAGCCTGATTTTTTGATAATGCTTAGGTTTCAATAATGAGTGTTTTACCATTTAGTGCTCATAATCAGCACTCCTAAAGCATGCTCTAACACCCATACTAGGTTCCTACATTTGTCCGTCCACTGCAAGAACAATGGAGAGTAACAGGTTCTTTGACAATGTTGTCAATCATTTTCTTACTACACTCACAAATTATCTTATTGTTTCGTGCAGACTATATTTCCAATCTATCGCTCATCATCTGAGAGATCATATCAACAAAATTTACCATATTCCAAAACTCTACTTAAAATAATTCAATTTTAGGTTTGGACATCTTTTCTTTCTATTTTGAGTAACATTTACCGCTTCAAAAAATAATTCTAAAATTCAAAATAATTTCTTCAAAATAAAACAATTCTTATTACACTACTAAAAATATATGTTTTTTGCTGCATTTATTAGCAGCAAAATAAATACCGCTGTCATAGACATGAAATCACAGCGGTCTTAAACCGCTTCTTTTATGTTATTAATTTGCACCAAATGAAAATTAAGGGCGCGAAATCAGAAGTAACTGCGCCCCAGTTCTATACCTTGTCGCGAACTCTCTTTCGCGGGATCTACTCCAAGGCGACCTCTCTCGAGCTAGCGATCTCCTCCGAGCACAAGCGATCCGCCTTCTCCGAGAGCGATCTCCTCCGACCTCTCGCTATCTCCTCCGCGCGACCTCCATCCTCAGCAGCCGCCTCCTCCCCAACCATCGACGACACCGAGGATGACGCCAAATCTGACGCTGACGACGAAGCCAACGCCGACACCGACACCAAGGCCGACGCATCTGCTTCCCTTTTAACAAGAACTTTACTATTCTATCGTTCGCCGCTCTCTTTTTCTCCTTTAACTTCTTGAATCATACCTAAAATTAAGCAAACATTGGGTAAGATTTATATTAGTTTTTTATTTTAATTTTTTTTGTTAATCTTCTTGTTGTTGTTGTTTTTTTTTTCCTGTAATGACCTGCATTTTAAGGTCTTCTTGTTGTTTTATTTTTACTTGGTGATTTGAATTTGGTCTTACCTAATTCCAAACGTTAAGGAGAGGGGGAAGTTATTGCATGATTAGTTTAAGTTTTAAATCTTGAATGAGAGGATATTAGGAAGATTTTTTAGGCAACTATTGGTAATGTTGTGCCTTTGTTGTCTATGAGAGGATATTAGGTTTATTATGTGTGGTCATTTTATTTTAATAGTCAAACGATTTGGGCACCAAAAAATTCCACCCCACCTGCTGGAATTTAGAAGAAGCCCAAAATTTTTTATGATATTTTACTATAATGTAAAGTTCTTTTTTTTATAATTTTATTATTTTAATATTTATTTAAGAGATCCTGACCCTACTACGCCACTTTGATGTTTTTCTTCTATGATTGCTTTCAAATTTTACTTTCTTAGTAGATAACTTATTATTAATGGGAGAGACTTTTTTTTTTCCCAGTTTGCAACTTCTTCATACTTAGAGTCTTTGAGATTGATTTAGAGTTCCCAAATTCTGATTTTGGTCATTTCTTGTTGTTATAGATGCTTAAAGTTGTTGTTTTTTCAGAGCAAGTGAAGCTGTGACAATACTTTGTTTGAGAAATTAACTGTAGAAGAGAATGAGACAAGAGTATAGAGGAGATTAGAAAGCTGTAAATGGAGTTAAAATTTCTCGTTGGTGGTATCAACTGTTTTTGGAACTGCATTGCCTGATTTTTTTCTTTGAATTTAAGGGTGGATTTAGTATGTTTGGATTTTCCTATGTTTAACATTGTGGATTTGGTTGACCGGGGTTGGCGAATTTGAGTGATTTAGGTTGCTCTTAGATAAAGCTAGATCATAAAAATCTGATTATCAAAAAGTTTATGTGGATCTACTTTTCAGAAACAGAGATTTGATTATTTTTTGGAATTCTTAATTTTATCTCGTGGACTAGCCTTAGGAAGAAAAAAGGTTATCGTTGGCTTCTGGTTTCACTGCTTTGCTTGGTCATCTAGAAAGCGACACAATTGATACACCTGTTAATGCTTAGGCTGGCTTTAGTGAAGGTTTTTAGATCTTGGGCCCAGACCTTATCAATTTTACAGAATTATGATATTTTGGAATGTTTTATCTGCTGCAATTTCCCTCACTATAAATTTGATCCTTGGCTAGTTCTGCAAATTTACCATCTAACGGCACAAACCTCCTGTCATTTATTTATTCATGTTTTGTCTTTATAGAGTTTTTTTTTCTAACCTGCACAAACCTGATGATATTCATATTTATTGAAGTTTTTACAATTTGATTTCTTCAAATAAATTTACCTTTGAAGAACTCTCCATAAGCTTTTGCTTATTTTATGGGTTATTAACTAACTTATAAACTCATCAATTTCCATGGCCTCAAATCCTTTAAATCTTCAACATGTTAAAGTTGCTATTGAGTTGAACTTACAGTTAATGTGAACTATACAGCATAAGAAAAAAATGAGCTATCCTATTTGAACTGAAAAAGAGAAGGGAGAGGAAGCCGCCAAGGATAAGGTGTGATGCCGTCACCACTCTATAGCCTAACCGTAGCAAAGCAACCAACCATTTCTTATCTGGTATTTGTTTCGTTGTACTCTGTTCATGAAATGGATGCTTTCTTTGATAAAAAATATTAAAATTTCATAAAGGGACAATGAAAGAGAATAAATAACTTCAATACTATAATAATCCAACCAAACAAAAATGAATGGAGGTAAGCAAGCAAAGCAAATTTTATGGAGGCTTTCCCTGCAGGAGTAGACCCAGTGTAGGGGTGTCAAATTATTAATAAGTGGTCACAACCTCAGGATAAGGTGAGCTAGCAAAATAAACAGTGTTATTAAGTTTTTTTAAAAATAAAATTAAAATGACGATTATTCATTGTAGGGGAGGGCGTTAAGAAATTCAGAAAATGCAAAAAAACAAACGTGTCAGCATACAATGGGTTGGGTGAGCTCTGTCAGAAGACAGGAAGAAACGACACGTATTCAAATTGCTTATATATTTCTATTTATATGAAAGAAATTAATTTTTCAGTTTTTTTACAGTCTATACGAGATCGCCTCCTATTATCGTAAATCAATCGCAAGTATAAAGATGGATCATGGTCATCTGAGGAGACCAGAGAAAAATGGGTAAAATCATAACATTTCACATGATCGATTTAATGAATGCTAACTATATTCTTTTTCTAAATCTAGGCACCTACTTCTGAAATGCTTTCCGAGGAAGGGTTGACACAAGAAGATGGAAATTTTGAGGCCAGTGAAAAAGTTTTCAAAGCAATCATGGGGCCAGAACACACAGGGAGGGTACGTACACATGATTTTGGGGTAACTCCAAGAAGATATTTTCCTCATAGCACAATGACTCGAGGCATCAGCAGTGGAGGCAATACTGCATTTGATCGAGTTGTAAAACTTGAGGAGGTGGTGCAAACACTACAAAGTGATGTCAGATAATTCATGAAAAATTATCAGGGATAACATCCACTACTAGGAAGCTCAACTATTGTATGTAAAATTATAAAATTAGATATTTTCATTTATTAATTTATTTATCACCTTCTTTGTTACTGATTACTTCTATGTTAATAACAGGGAGATAATGATCAATTTTCGCCTAATTGACATCCAAAGTGTAGAAGAATGGAAGACGTAGTATAAATGGGCATAATATTTTAATTATGTATGGCCGAAGTTTTGAAATATTATAAGAGTAGTGCAGACTATTTAGTTCAAAGTTGTTAAATATATACAATTATGAATTTGTTTTAAGTTTCTTCTAGTGTGAATTCTGTGACTTCCTTTTTTTCCTTAGTGCATGAGGTTGTGCTTCCTTTCTGTGCTTCAAAATTTTATTCTGTTGTAATGCTAGATGTGTGCTTGGCAATTCCATGTTGAAGATATTTCAGATTTGGGGATAATTATAGAATTCCTTATGGCAAAGCCTTCAATGTAGGAAATATTATTTAATGATTCGGTGCGGCATTAGCTCGAACCGTCAACGCACTCTTGTCTTCTTTTTTGCATTGAACATATGACACATTCAACAATTTTTCTACTTTTATTAAGTGGTGGTTTAGTTTCTTTTATTTGTAAGAAAGAAAAGATGGGATTTGGCGTATTCAATTGGGATATAGCAGTATTCAATACAAATGTTGTTCTTCTCTTAGTTGTTAGTTTTATGATACTTCTATTGTCTTAAAAATAGCTGTAGTTAGCTAAGCACTTCTCTCAGACTACATCCTCCTCCCTCTTCTCAGACTACCTCCACTTAAACCTTCATGTCTGCTTTTTTGAAATTATTGTGGTCGTTCATCATCCCCTGCTTCTCCTACTCATTTAACACGTGATCTCCACTCTCTACAAAATGTTTTCTTATCAAGACATAGGTCAAGTACTCATCAGCAACAGTAAACTCTTCCCATTGTTCACTCTAGGAAAGGACTTTTGTCTACATAGGCTCTCTCTACCTTCCTTCTTACATGTGCCATGATTATAACAGCTATTATGTTAATCATAAAAATTGTTTTTTTTTTTCATTTTATTTTTTTCAATTGAACTTATCTTTTAGCAGCGGTTTTAACACCTCCTAAAAAGCGCTGCTAAAACACCCCTACAGCAGCAGTTAAAACACCGCTGTTGGAGAAGCAAATGTGGCGGATGTGCAGCGGATTTTAAACGCTGCAAAAAAATTTGCAGGTGTTTAAAACCACTGTTGTTAGGTTAGAAAAAGCATTGTGAAAGCTAATTTAATTAGTAATAGTTATACATTTTGCAATCAATGAATGTAAGCTATGGTTACAATCTTTTGTTTAAGCTCTAGATTAAAATACATAGAGTTCCTTTCTCTTATTTATTTATTTATTATTTTTATATAATTAAATAAATAATAATGTTTATTTCAACTAGAGCTAACTATTCATTAATAAAAAGTATTATAAAAAGTAAAAAATAATAATTATATGTTACTGTCATTTTAATATCTACTAACAAAAAAATAATGGCTTTAGGGCACTTAAAGTGCCTAAATATGTATCTATTAGGACATCATATAATTAAGACATCAAACAATGGTGTCATTAGGTGATCATTGGCATACGGGTAAGGACATCTTTTGTTTCCTAAAAACTAAACTTTCATGACATTAATTTGATGACATAGCCCTCTTAACGACACTTATTAAGGTGTCCTATACGACAACTAATTCCAACATGTTATATGATGGAATTTAATAAATAAATATGACAAATATTATGTGTCATAATGGGTTAATTTCCTAACAGCATTTATTTGATGAAATATGTTTAATATTAAGGGCAAATTTAAGTTTCCCTACAGATATATGATTTCCAAAAAATCAACATCAAGCCTTATCCCCTACGTGGGGTCGGATACAATGATCCTTTTTCTCCATTGTGTCCTATTAAAGTCAAATTCTCCGTTTAATCTAATAAAGAAAGGTCATTCTAATATTTTCTAACCAAAGTCTTTTTAGGTCTACCCTACCTTTCTAACACAAGTCAAATCTAATACTTACTTCCTAACGCGGGTCATGAAGGCGCTTTTATGTGACAAACCATTCTAAGGTCGATCTCTCTCTAATTCTTAATTTTACTTGAGCTACTCCAAGCTTTTCGTGATATGCTCATTTCGTATCCTATTCTAAGGTAAAGCCACTCATCCATCTAAGCATCCCTCATCTCTGCACCTTAAACTTATATTATGCTTCTCTTTTTCAAATGGCCAACATTGGCATCCATAAAGCATTGCAGGCTCACTCACATCTTATAGAATTTTCCCTAAGTTTGAGGGGTACATTTCTATACATTACAAGCTCCGAGCATTCCGCCAACTTTCAAACCATCCCAACTTGGAATTCTTGGATGATAATGATCCCCATCTTTTCACATCACTCTGGCACAATAGATCAGAATATCTAAAACGGTGTACTCTTATAATTGAGTTGATCTGCACAGTCACAATCCCTCACTAGGTATTACTACTAAAATTACACTCCAATATATTCACGTTTTAGATTACTCAAAGGCGGAAACTTTAGACTCTAAGGTTGACCTCCATAAATTCAAGTTTACTTTCAACTCCTCTCTAGTCTTATCAACAAGACAGATATATCAGCAAAAAGCATACACAAGGTACTAATCTTGCAAATGTATAGTGAGAAATCCATGAACTAAAGCAAAAAGATATGGGCTTAGGATGATCCTTGATGTTACACGAAAAATAGGGAAATACTTTGGTAAACAATTGTGTTTGAATACACAAGAATAGCTCCTGCATACATATCTTTTATGATTTGAATATAAGCATTATTGATCCTTTCTTATCAAGAATCTCCATAGCATTCTCTTGGAACTTTATTCATAATTTTGTTTTCTAAATAATAAATATATTGTGGGGATCCTTACCTTATTTTCCTCTATATTTTTCCATCAAAATTCTTAATAAATGTATGCTTCCATAGTCACCTACCCGGCATGAATCCAATTGAATTTTGAGAAACATTAGTATCACGCGAAATAATCTTCTATAACTGTCCATAATTTTAAGTATGACACATTACTTAATCTCTATAATTCGTGGCAATCCTTGCATCACTTTCTTCTTAAAAATAGGAATTAAACAACTCATTCTCCACTCATCTGGCATTTTAGTCTTCAAACTAAATAGTATTAAAAGTTAGTTAAGCCAAGAAATCCTTCATCTCTAACATTTCAACTCTATGGAATGATCATAGGTCAACAGCTTTTCCGACCTTCATTCTATTTTAAAGCTTCTAACTTCAGTTTTACTAATACGCCGGATAAGAACAGAAATTTTACTTTCATTTAGGGGTGTAAGGTCACTATAGTCAATTTTTTCACACTCTTCATTAAAGTTTAGCAAAAATATCTATCCACTTTGTTGAATATATCTTCTTAAAAGTATTTTTTTGATCTTCATCCTTAATACACTTCACTTGAACTAAATCTTACTATCCTATCTTCTTTGTTTGCCTAACTTAACATATATCTTTTCTTCCTCTTAGTATTTAATCTATTATATAAATTTGCTAAAAGTAATGTTTTTGCATCAATATTGCTTTTAGAATCCTTATCGAGCACTTTATATAATTCCAATTATCAGTAATTTTAAGATTAAACCAAATTTTTATAACAAATTCTTATTTTTTAATCTTTTTTGCAGCAATTGGATCACACAACTATTTTTACTATTAGGAGCTTTTCCTTTGATACAGCACTCTTTTGCGTATTTCTTAATATCAACTAAGCTACTTTTTTCCCAATAATATTTAGCATCCTCATGCACAGACAAATTAAGACTAAATTACCACAAAATATTTTTGTTTATATTCTTTAAATGGCATCTATCCGAAAAACGTTTTACTATTCATTTATTTATGCCTTATCTTAAAGTCAAAACTAATATCCGATTTGGTACATAACACTTTCACTCGGAATAACTTTACAATCTTTGCATTCTAAAACGGTTTAATTTTCTAAATAAGAATAGTCAATCTGGGTTGTACAACCATCCATTTTTATAAGTGTGAGATGCTCATTCTTTTCTTAAATAAGGTATTAGCAATTGAAAAATATAAGCTAACAAAATCTAATATGGTCTTGCCACTATGTCGTAGTTGCCAAATACTGGCCACATGGAATGCTTTTAAAATCAGTCTACCTCTTATCCAAACATGTCCATTAAATTCTCAAAAAAACTCTTTCTTCAAGAGTATCTTTTGTATTAATTCTTCTAAGTCATTCCAAAATTAATTTAGATTATCCCCATAACTCCCTGAGGAAGCATAAGCACTTATAATAATAACATCTAATCCTCAATACAATTTAAAGCTATAATTCTATCTCAACAAATCCTATTATTTTTAAAGCATTATCTTTAAACTATTATCTATAATTGACCCTACAACATTTCTAGTACGACTCCTACCGATAAAGTTTAAAACCTAAACTAATCGTTTCTTAGCTTTTCCACACTTAGTTTCTGAATGCACAAAATTATTTAATTTCCTATGAATCATAATATTATTACTTCATTAATTTTACCAGTAGGGAACCTATATCCAAGTTCCTATCCAATTTATTAATTATGACTACTTCTTTTGCAATCCGCCTTGATGTGGGAAACCTTGCTATTTAACACTGCACCCGGCGTCGGTGCAGGGCCTCTGCACATTGTATGTATTCAGGATACAGTCGCGTCGTTTCGGGGACGGCCTAAGCATTAAAACATTTTTTAAAGGAAAGATATTATGATTTCTTTCAACAACAATTGAATTTAATAAAAATAATTTTAATTAAAGATCTTACTTATTTGTATGTCCATCAATATATGATGTATATACACTTAATAATAATTATATTCCAATTATCAATTAATTATGCTGACTCATAATATTTTATTTGCAAATAATTAATCACCAATCAAATTTCTAAAAATCTCATATACATATGAGAGCTTA